TGAAATCACGAGCTATCTGGGAACCCAGTGGGGCCAGCACCTCCGCCTCATGCTGCTCGCCCACAGGTCTCCAAGAACTGGCAGAGTCCAGGCTGGGGGAGCCCTGTAGCTCCGGGGCCCTTGCTCTGTCCTGTTGGTCACCCTTCTGGCTTGTGACATGGGCTCTACTGAAGATTTGCTTTAGAGCCTTTTGCCCAGAGGCTAGTGTCCCACTGGTGTCCTTTGCTGTGACACTGAGGAGTGACTGGGGACCTGGGATGTCATGCCTCGGTTAGTGTGGGGGGTGCCTCAGAATTCCCCACTGAGGTGCTGTGCAGCCCAGAGACACATCTTCCAACAGCCTTAGTTTTTACTTTTTACCAATGCAGCTTTTTTTCTTTCACAACTTTGTACAAGTGAACTCTAGGTGTTTTTGTTTCCAGTGCTTTATATATTCTAGAGATTAGTAGTTTCCAGCCTGTGACCTGGGAGTGCATGCCCAGGGCAGTGGGAAGCTGTCTCCTTTCTAATAAAGAAGAGTCTCTCGAGAATTTGTTCTCCGGCTGCTGGTGGGAAGGAAGGAGCCGGGACTTTTCCCTTGAGACTCAGGGCCCCCTGTGTGTGTGTCTGTGTGTTGCCGTCTGTCCATCTCCCTTCACCCAACCATGGGGATGGGGCTGGTTGCTGATGCGTCTCTGATCATGAGTGTCAAGTGTGTCCTGTGGCCAGACCTGGCTGTCCCCACTCCTGGGTGAGAAGCAGCTAGAGTGGCCTGCACTGGAGCTGTCGCTGACGCTGCAGCTGCAGGGGTGGAAACCTAGCGCTCTTGGCCCACTGCTCAGGCCTAGCTCCTGTCTCGGGCGCGTGTCCTTCCTTCCAGCCCAGCTGGGCGCCAGGGCATAATTGTACCCATGACCTCTGTCCTCTGTCCCCTGGAGCAGATTTGCGTGCCCGTGGAGTCCTCGAGTCCCCTGGTGATGAGCAACCAGAAGGAGGTGCTTCGCTGCTTCACAGTGCTCGGTGAGTGGGCTTGGGACGTGGGCTGGGGCGTGCAGAGGCCTCTTTGTCCACCTCGCCTAGGTCTGCCTGTGGCTTCAAGGGCCTCACAGCCAGGGCCTGGGCAGTGGCTGCAGTCCCAAACGTCATTCTCCGTGCAGGAGCATGTCGTCGTTCTCTGTGCAGGAGCGTGTTAATGCCCTGCCCAAGTCCTTCTAGAGCCTTCCACCTCACAGTCTGCACATTCCTCATCTGCCCTTTGCTACTCCTTGCTCCAGCCCATGGTCTGCTCTCTGCTCCCCTGGTTGACGTGTGGCTGCCTGGCCCCAGTCACCCAGTCTGGCTTTAAATGCCCCCCCCAAGAGGTGCTGTGCATCTTGTCACCACCAACAGACCCTGGCCTGCCGTCACTGTCCCTGTGTCCCGCACATGCACAGGCCATGCTTGCTGTTCTCCGAGGAACAGGCAGACGTGGGGGGGCGGTGCCCAGCCTGTGCTCAGGGCTGTCCACCACTTGGGGCCAGCAGCATCAGCGTCCACCTGGAGCTGGTCATCCCTGTAGAACCTCTGCCCCTCCCCAGTTGCATTAGCATCTGCCTTAACAGACCTGCTGGAGTGGAGGCCCCCGGCTCCCTGGAGGGGCGGGGAAGCGGGGAGGGAGGCTGGCCTCAGCTGGACCACGGGAAGGGTGTGGTGGGTGGAGGACAGTGGGTCTGAGATCCAGGTAGAGCAGGTGTCCCAGGCCCATCTTTGCTGCCGATGACACTGGTTCCCACCAGCAGCCCTCAGAGGTCGAGACTGGGTGGAGAGCCCCTCGGTGGGCCTGCAGCTTGGGCTGCTTTAGCCCTGCTCTGGCTGGGGTTCTGAATGCTCGACAGCTCCAGGGTCACTCCCACAGCTGTAGACGTGCCAGAGGCAGGAGGGGCACCGAGGGCCCTCCTGGGCCCCATCCATGTGAGGCAGGTCAAGGATCTGAGTTGGCATGGGCTCTGGGCAGTGCTGGGCTGAGCCACGCCTGCCCCAGCTCCTCACCGTAGGCGGTTAGGCGCTCTGGCTTCGCTGTGCTCCTCACCTGTGCTGGGAGCCGGTGGACACTCTGTGGACAGGGAGGAGCAAGGCAGGCACAGCCGGCCACAGAGGTGGAGGCTCGGGTACGAGCGGGTCGCAAAGGATAGGCACCATGAGCACGTGTCTCTCTGCAGCCTGCTGCTCACCTGACCGCCTGCTGGCCTTCCTGCTGCCCAGGCTGGACACCAGCAACGAGAGGCTCCGTGTGGGCACCCTGCAGATCGTGAGGCACGTCATCAACTCAGCTGGTGAGTGCCCTGCGTCTGCCAGGCCAGGCCGGGCCACATTCAGAGTGCAGTAGGTGTCCATCTCATAGGTGAAGTGGAACATCCTGCTTTGAATTCTTTAAAAATCCCAGCTTTCTAGTTTGCAAGATTCCAAACTTTTTGAGAAGTTGCACCAGTAGTACCCACCTGCCCTTCACCAGATGCTGGTCATTGACATGTGCCATTGCTGGCCCCTGCATGCCCGGCGTCCTCATGTCACCACGCCATGGCAGGTTGCAGAGCCGCACAGGCAGTAGTCCCAGAACTGTCTGGTATAGCTCGTTTGCCCTCAGTCTGGGATCTAGTCAAAGACATACTTTGGTTTAGTCCCGTTGTCTTGTAGACTCCTTTTGTGAAGAAGAATTTTTTTTTTTTTTAAAGAGTTGAAGCCTGTTGTTTTGAACAATTTCCCTCCATTTACATATGCCTATGGGTTTCCTCACAACTAGATTGAAGGCCTCAGGTTTCCTGCTTTTAAGGCCAATTTAATTGATCAGTAGAAGGCTTTTTAAAAAGCCATAAAATTTTTCACACGCGTGTCCGTTTTTTGGTGAGTCTCACTCATGTCCTGGTGCAGTCAGTCCACAGTGACTGTGGCCACATCAGAGCTGCAGCTTGCTTTTGTACAGCCTGCGAGCCAAAGTGTCATTACGTTTTTAACAGGTTGTAAAAGCAAACAAAGAAGAACATGCGGCAGAGACCACATGTGGCCTATGAAGCCTGAAATGTTTTCTGTCCAGCCTTTTACAGAACAAGGGTGCTGACCCCTGTCGTGTGAGGCTTGCTGTCCATCGCAGAAAATAGCGACCCTGGACCTGGGGCAACGTGCGAGTTACGATGTATGGGATGACACAGGAGCACCTTGAGAAAGGGGCAGGGATAAGGGAGGACAGTGGCAGCCAGAGCCACAGTCCAAATCGTGCCACGAAGCCAGGAGTCTCTGCAGAGGGACTGGGAGTTGAGCACCTGCTCCCCGCAGAGCAGCCTTTGAGACCCCCGAAAGAAAGCTCAGTAGGGATCTCAAATAAAGCAGGAAGTTTCTGGGTTCGAAAAGAATGACCAGAGCACGTAAGAATAGAAAGAGTAGGTGTGTAGTGCATTTTTATTCCGAAGTCACCACTGAAAGACAGGTTTGGTTTTCGTTTG